GAGTAATGGGTATGTAATGATCTCTCCGTTATGTCAATGTTATGTTTGTAAAACCCGATAACACTAACGTACGTAACAAGAATTCGTGAGGACAAGTCTTTGAAATTAGTTTGCTTCCTTTCGTATGATAGAATCTGTATGAATGCATCATTCTAATTATAACGCACTGACTTGTTAGGTTTTTATTTACTACAGACATCGGTTCAATCCCGTTGTGCCTACATCCCATTGTGCCTACATCCCATTGTGCCTTCATCCCAATTGCCTACAGAAATAACTGTAGGCACATTGGGAACTCAGTTTCATCCCTAGTTATGCAAATGGACCGAACCACTATTGTCTGACTTATTTTTGCTAAGAGATAAGCCTCAGGATAAAAGTTTTAAATTATTTTGTCAATATGTGTGGCCCAATCAAGTCAGGCTTGTACTGTTGCAGATTCCTTGATAAACTGTTAGTAAATAAACAAAACAGAGTAGAGAAATTAAATACGCATTACTTTGTAAGGGACATTATCAAAATATGTAAATATGTCATTACATATGACTGTATTAACTTTATTTTCTTTCAGAGATCAATACAATTTACGTGTTTATTCATTGTTGTTCAAACAGGCCAGATATTAAGGTGAGTATGGACAAGTTTATCTCATATCATAGGTAAAACAGGTAACAGTCATGTTCACTCGTGCATCACTTTCTGAGCATCAGACCGTATCATGTCATGATTTTACTGTAGGCACAATGGGAGTGTAGGCACATTGGGAAGACATCCAGACAACCGCCACGTAAAAGGCACCATGTCAATTTATAGTGATTCCCAAGGAGTTAGATTGTTACATGGTACGTGGCTATCACAAACCACGGGCGATCGTCAAACGACAACTAGGTTCTTCCACACAGGACTTTCACAATCATATCTACAGTTACACATCAACTGTATAACATTTCAAAATATTCTACTGTCAATGGACAGGGTCAACCTAAATACTAAACTATGAGCAGAATCAATACTCACATCAAAAGGTGCAACTTCCCTGTAAAAGGACTATGGCCCTGGTGATTTCAACACCCTGCCCATATGAACATGCAGGTTACATGTCCTGACTGAATCCATTATCTAACACACCCTATTGTAAGAACAACAATAATTAGCATTGATCATATTATTTGAATCGGTAGTGCTTCATTGCGACGGAGGTTTACTTAATACATTGCTGTTGTCCTAGCCTATGCCAGGCGCTTCGGCCCAGTTCATTTTCTAATTGCTTGGAACCTGTGTGCTTTCATCGAGCTTTGGCATCAGGCGTATGAGCCGGTGAATCTATACACCGCTGGATTGAACAATCGAGTTTTGCCTGGGTAACCATGAAGCTAAATTACATTATGGAGGTAAACACGATGCGTACATTGGTTTGAATGATGGAGAATTCTGGAATAACAATAAAGTGATATGCCTTATAGGATTGTATTTTGAGATAGTATGCCTGATTGTATTGTATTTTATACCTCTAATACTTTATCAGTGTATAACAATAATGTCCCTCTTCGATGCTTAACCTCATACTACTTTATGGGCGGAATAACAATGCACTCAGTGAGAGTACTATATCAATGTACCGCAACAGTGTAATACTTGAATGCATTAACTGGCATTATTCTGTCTGTTATCCGCGCTAGCACTGTGTTCCATAAATGTATAAACGGGCAATAGTCTTTCTGTGTTCCACGTCGGTGTGCTACAGGAATGTATAAACTGTGATTATTTAACCATTATACCATAAACAGTGTGTCACACCAATACATTGACTGACCCAATTCCATCAGTGCACCACAACAGTCTGTTGCATCAATGCATTAATCAATCACATTTATCGGTGTACCACACTATTTTACTTCCCAAGTGCATTTACTTACCTTCATATGTCCGTGTGCCACAACAATGTACAGCATCAATGCATTGCCATGTATTGTCACAGTGTACAACATCACTCTACTGTCACAGTGTATACACCAATGTATTGTCACAGTGTACACCACCCCTGTATTGTCCCAATGCACACTACCTATGTATTGTCACAGTGTACCTGACCCATGTATTGTCACAGTATACAACATCTCTCTGTTGCCACAGTGTACCTCACCCATGTATTGTCACAGTGTACACCATCGCTGTACTGTCACAGTGCACACTCTCCATGTATTGTCACAGTGTACCACACCCATGTATTGTCACAGTATACAACATATCTCTATTGTCACGGTGTACACCATCGCTGTACAGTCATAGTGCACACAATCCATGCATGGTCACAGTATACATCTCTCTGTTGCCACAGTGTACAGCATCGCTCTACTGTCACAGTGTACACCCAAATGTATTGTCACAGTGTACTACATCGCTTGATTGTCACAGTGTACACCACCCATGTATTGTCACAGTGTACTACATCGCTTTATTGTCACAGTGTACACCCCCAATGTATTGTCACAGTGTACTACATCGCTCTACTGTCACAGTGTACACCACATATGTATTGTCACAGTGTACTACATCGCTTTATTGTCACAGTGTACACCCCATGTATTGTCACAGTGTACTACATCGCTTTATTGTCACAGTGTACACCCCATGTATTGTCACAGTGTACTACATCGCTCTATTGTCACAGTGTACACCACATATGTATTGTCACAGTGTACTACATCACTCTATTGTCACAGTGTACACCCCATGTATTGTCACAGTGTACTACATCGCTCTACTGTCACAGTGTACACCACCCATGTATTGTCACAGTGTACTACATCACTCTACTGTCAAAGTGTACACCCCATGTATTGTCACAGTGTACTACATCGCTCTATTGTCACATTGTACACCACATATGTATTGTCACAGTGTACTACATCACTCTATTGTTACAGTGTATACACCCATGTATTGTCACAGTGTACGCCACATATGTATTGTTTCATTGTACAACATCGCTCTATTGTCACAGTGCACAACACTAGTGTATTGATCACAGTGTACATCACCCATATATTGTCACAATGTTCTTCATCGATGTATTTTATAGTGTACAATATCAATCTATTGCCATCATGTATTAAAACAGTGCTTTGTCACATTGTAGAGCATCCATGTATTGCTATTGTGTACAACGGCAATGTATTGCCACTGTGTTCATCACCCATGTATTGTCACAGTGTACTACATCGCTCTATTGTCACAGTGTACACCACCCATGTATTGCCACAGTGTACAACATCGCTCTACTGTCACAGTGTACACCACCCATGTATTGTCACAGTGTACACCACATATCTATTGTTACAGTGTACAACATCGCTCTATTGTCACAGTGCACACCACCCATGTATTGTCACAGTGTACAACATCGCTCTACTGTCACAGTGTACACCACCCATGTATTGTCACAGTGTACAACATCGCTCTACTGTCACAGTGTATACACCCATGTATTGTCACAGTGTACACCACCCATGTATTGTCACAGTGTACTACATCGCTCTACTGTCACAGTGTACAACATCGCTCTACTGTCACAGTGTACACCACCCATGTATTGTCACAGTGTACAACATCACTCTACTGTCACAGTGTATACACCAATGTATTGTCACAGTGTACACCACCCCTGTATTGTCACAGTGTACAACATCGCTCTATTGTCACAGTGTACACCCCCCATGTATTGTCACAGTGTACACCACCCATGTATTGTCACAGTGTACAACATCGCTCTACTGTCACAGTGTACACCACCCATGTATTGTCACAGTGTAAACAACATATCTATTGTTACAGTGTACAACATCGCTCTATTGTCACAGTGCACACTATCCATGTATTGATCACAGTGTACTACATCGCTCTATTGTCACAGTGTACACCACCCATGTATTGTCACAGTGTACAACATCGCTCTACTGTCACAGTGTACACCACCCATGTATTGTCACAGTGTACACAACATATCTATTGTTACAGTGTACAACATCGCTCTATTGTCACAGTGCACACTATCCATGTATTGATCACAGTGTACTACATCGCTCTATTGTCACAGTGTACACCACCCATGTATTGTCACAGTGTACAACATCGCTCTACTGTCACAGTGTACACCACCCATGTATTGTCACAGTGTACACAACATATCTATTGTTACAGTGTACAACATCGCTCTATTGTCACAGTGTACACCCCCCATGTATTGTCACAGTGTACACCACCCACGTATTGTCCTAGTCGCACAGTGTACAACATAAGTGTATTGATCACAGTATACATCACCCATGTATTGTCACAATGTTCGTCACCGATGCATTGTCACAGTGTACAACATCACTCTATTTCCATAATGTATTAAATCAGTGTTTTGTCACAGTGCACACCATCCATGTATTGCTATTGTGTACAACATCTACGTATTGTCACAGTGTAATACATGTATAGCTGTGATGACAATGAAATATACCAGAGCAACGAATCAATGTGGTTAATACGTATACACTATGCATGTACTGAAGCAATGTGTACATTCTGTCTGGGCGTCTATATTTGTAGTGCATTATACCACGGCAACATATCGACACTGCATATAAGCATACCTTTTCACATTCTCATCGTTGATTATCCACAATCAACGTTGCCGGAGCCGCAAAGACTAAAGTGCGTCTATTCACTCGAGATCGAGTTACAGTTAACTGACATTAACACATAACTTGCATTAACCTGAACTCATACCTAAAATAATGCTCGTTCAAATATAATTCCAACCATATTGATCGACACAAGTAGTTCATGTTCATTGGTCTAAATGGGCATAATTGTTCAATAACACCAATATTTCCATATTGTTTGGAACCACAATGTACATGCCAACGATAGAAGGCTTAATGACATGTTTAGCTCCGAAATGTTTGATAAGAACATTAGTTCATGCCAATTGACTACACCCATTCTCTTACCTTCACACACAGAAAGCACTCATGATGAACCTACAATTAAACATTAGCGAATATCCGATCAATATCCAAAAGCGATTTCCAGATATCATCCAGGACTTGCACCAACGTCTATTTTCGTGATAGTATTCCCAGACTGTATTCCAAATGTCATGTACCCCATAATATATGCTGCAGTTTAGATGATGAGGACAGAACTGAATTACAAATAGATGCCATTCGATAGAATAAACGTGGAATTTGCCGTTCGTTGAATGTGAATTATAAATGTTGGTTCAACCGTGACACTAAAACATGGCACTGTTATGAAAACAAACCCTATGAACGCACAACGCATTGCACATATGGTCACGCACGCTGGAACATACTCTCTAGGTTAGGATCGATTGCGTGAATGAATTAATGCATCAAAAGCAGCAATACCAAGGCGATAAATTGTATCTGGGTAATAGCAAGCCAGTGGTCGATAGCAGGACCATCGTTTCCCAATCCGATCTCAATTATATTCCGCTCAAACAACAAGCATGTTCTACAAAGGACTTGTTGGACACGTGAACTACATCGGTGGACAAGCACGTACTACAGGGGGTCTGTTCTGTCCCGTAGTCTCGCTAAAGCAATCGACGTAGTGACGAACGCGTTGTTACAGTTAAAACAAGACTCCGAGGTTTCGGTTGAACATTTATATACCTACTGCCACTTTTGCCTCTTGTATTGTAGATGTCTGCCTGTCTCTTCGTAAACCCTTGAGAGGTATTACTTTCAAATGAGACCTGCTGAGGGGTTTTACATTTGAATTGTAATACCTGCTCGGGGGTGTTACAGTTGATTTGTAATACCTGCTTGGAGGTTTTACATTTGAATTCTAAGACCAAGGTTTTACAGTTCTGTGGTTAAAACAGCCTTTAAATGTGTATCTAATGTTGCTTTTTGACTGGTTGAAAGTCATAATGTTATTTGGCCAGGTATATGTTCTTAACCTGCTCACATAAGAGAACTGTTAGTTATTACATTTAACGTTCCTCACAGCAAGTACATTCTTTATCAGACATGTCAATTCAGCATTTAAGCAGTGCAGTCCCGAAGTTATTGCTTAAACGTTGTTCTTCACTTATAAACAGCAGAGTCTCCGCCCTTGTGCACAGCAGATGTAATTCAAAATTAACATATCGTTTTTAGTTTTCACAAAATCAGTAAATGCGCTATCTTGTTACTGGATTGTCTGGACAAGACTCGATTTCTACAGGGCGCTCTCGTATGGCAGGGATTATTACTGTGAAGCGTAAGACGACAAACAAACATTTTTGTGGAAATTGTATAAGTGGCGCCCTAACGGTTCTGTAGGATAATACCCTTTTCGCGAACACCTTGTGTCATCACTGATTTTTAGTGATCCATTCATATATTTTTCACCGGTTTTGCCTTTTAGGCAAAAAGGAATCTGTTTCGGCTCATAATCTAGGCTGATTGATTACTGGCGTTGGTGTTTTGTATTTAATCAATGACAAGACGATGGAAAGATGTTTTATAAATGGACATAGAGGGGCTATGCTAAGCTCACATGGGTAGAGATATACATTTACGAACTTAGGAAGAAGAAGGGTAAGATTTGAACCAGTACATATTTTCAAAACGGTTTCTATTTGTAAATGATGTAAGGTACTTTGTTCTTGTTTGTTTCATTTAATAGTTCCCCAAATAATTAACTTTACAAGGTATTCAAATGATGTACAGAGATTCCAGAGACTTGTTTTAATATTCGGGGTTCAACTGACGTTTGACAACAGATATGCACCTATGTTTTACCATGTATAGATTTATCTTTTCATGAGTAAATAGATATCCCATCCCATATACATCAGAAAAGGAACATGGGTAAGTTCGACAGTAAGTCAGGCTCAGCTGTTGTTTTAATTGATCAGTATAAGTAAATACTGTCGAGAATATAGTGTGCATGTCAGGTGATCAGAATATTATCAACTTGTTATTTGGAGTAAAAAGTACAATGTATTGAAATTGTTTGAAGTGTAGACACATTGGGAGTAAAACAAAATGGTTCACAGGTCTGTTTTGCATGTAAGTCAGTACCTACTGGTGCATGAATACACAACGGGAATTCGTTTGGATGAGACTGTGGGCACATTGGGAAAATACCACTGTACTATTAAATACAAATTGTCCATGCAAGAGAATAATCAGTCTAGACCATCTGCCGAAACAGGATCCATTTGGCGTAAAGGGCAAACTAGCTTTGAAAATTATATGAATGGACCACTGAAAATCAGTGATGACACCAGGTGTTCGCGAAAAAGGTATGCATTCCTGTTCTATCGGTTGAACTCGTCATTCACATAATTGGCATAAAGTAAGTTTTTCGTATTAAGTATCAAGAAATGAAAAACTATTTCCGGCTCTTTGAGACCAACAAATGCTTCAGGAAATAATAGTCTCTGCAGATACCTACGTCCTCTGTCATCAAATATCAAGGAGGCATGGGTAGCCCAGTTGTGGAAGGCGCCACAATTCGTTGTGTTGTTGTTGTTTTGTTTTTTAACGCCGCACTCAGCAATATTCCAGCCATATGACGGCGGTCTGTAAATACTCGAATCTGGACCAGACAATCCAGTGATTAATATCATGATCATCGATCCACGCAATTGGGATCGATGACATGCATCAACAAAGTCAGCGAGCCTGACCAACCGATGCCGTTAGTCGCCTCTTACGACAAGCATAGTCGCCGTTTACGACAAGCATGGGTTGCTGAAGACCTATTCTACCCCGGCTCTTCACGGGTCTAATTCGTTGTGAAGGGCACGCTAGTAAGCTATGATCGTGAGTTCGAATCCCGGTTCGCCCCGATTGTTTCTGGGTTTGTCAGCACCATACCCGTGCTCGTGTATTTAACTAAAGTGGTGAACGTCTAAGAATGTATCATTTGAGGCTTTCCTTCCACAGGTAGCTGACACACCGGGTTATATCAGGAATACTGTTCAAAGGGGAATTAAACCAAATTAATGACTCACTCACATATAAAAATGTATTCATTAGCTTACATAGTGTACTTGGCTCATACCTCACTACTGCACGAATCGTCTCAACACATCCATATTATTTCCCTCATGTATAATGCTTCTGCATAAAACTGTCCCTCAATGTTCTAGAGCCTACTCCATGTATTGAATCTGTGGTCAGCAACCTCTATGTAAACACGCCACTGATAAGTGATATATTTCGATGTGCACATTAACTTCGGAGTCACCATGGTCAACAATGACACAGACACTCTTGCTTGTCGAAAAGAAGAATGAGCATGATGTATTGCATGTGATAAGTGTGATGGACCATTGTTTCGCGCATGTTCTACGTACATCGCTATCGCCGTGCGTTCATTAATCACTGTATGCTTGTGGGTAAGCATGTCCATCGACCAGGTCCCGCTGTGCAACCGAATCTCTCTGATCCCAACGAGAAGCTAACCTTTCCAAGTATTAATACTTTATGCACAGTATACAAGCGAGAGCAGCTTTCCGCCTGGTGACCTTAAAATGTTATATTTAATTTATATACATAGTTTGTCATAGTCAAAATAAACACGCAGCAAAATGCTACGAGATTCTTCTATGCATGAATGTCATGCGTTTTACACCATCTGATTTCTATTGTTTCAATTATTCCTTTTCAGTTTGGCTGTATCTATATATGTACATGTCATGAACTATTAAATGAATGCATTAAGTGCATATTTTGTTAGTTCATGCAAGGTGGAGCCTAGCTGTTGTGAATGTATTTCAGTAATCGTGTAACTAACGTTATCAAATAGTACATTTACAACACATATACAGTCGAACCCCGTTGTGTCGAACTCGAACGTTTCGAATCCCTGATTGTGTCGAACTCACATTCCCGGTAAACTCTTACTATTTTACCACTATTTTAATTCGGATGTGTCCAAATGAATGAGTCGAATTCCGGGTTGTCTCGAACCTAAGTTATAGTCCCAAGAGTTAAAGCAAAAATCCTCAAAGCACAACTTACCACAAGTTAGAATTTGTACAATTTGATTATAATGCATATAGATGCACTAAGGTGGATATAATAAATGCTTCTGTTTTTATTACTTACTTTACAAAATGTTACGAGGGCATTACCAAATTGAAACGTAAAGGTTAGCCAGACATCGGTTCGCAGAGAATTGAATGGTGAAATCAGTAAATGACCACACATGATCAATGAATAATCAGTAAATTGTGTTGAAATAACAATAAAGTAATGGCATTACAATAGGTGAAACAAGTGGCAGACACAATAAGTAACAGGCCCTAGAAATAATGTAAGTGCACTCACGAATGTTAACAATTTTGTCACCTTTGAATGTTTTGAAACAGGCTTCTCTCCATTCTTGAATCAAGAACAGTGTTGGAAGATGACAGGATATCAGTGTTCATAACTTGGTATCCAGTCCGTACTTGGTAGATAGATACACATAAGGTTGAAAAGGGCCTCGAATCGTCCTCTTACCGCTTTTATTTAGGTCCCATCCCGAAATTTCTCGAACGATGAAGCCTTCCATGTTCATAACCAACAATCAGGGGGCGATAACTCAGGGCCAGTGGCCCTTCAATCGTCCGTTGCCACCGGCAATTACTGCAAATACATTTACAACATTCACTACTGCCACAACTGATCAGACTGATTAGTCGAACATTCTTAACTGGGTCCAAGGTGTTCGAGACAACGAGTCAGCACTGTATTATGTTCATCAGGAAACACTATTCTGAACCTTCTATTTTAATTATTCACGATATGTCAGAAAGTACATTGTATGGCGTCAGGCTGGAAATGGAGTGCACACCAGTGTGTCTGAACCAGTAACTCAAACACTAGCGTTTGAAACAGTTGTAAAACTATCCGTATATTCATTGCTAAAACCCATACATGTAAGAGTATTAAAAATTATTATTGATGTTGGGAAGTTGATGCTTGTGCACGCAGTGCTGAGTCACAGCAGAGGTAGCACTGAGACATTAGATAAATTACCACCGTGCATGGGATCTATGTGACATAAACCAACAAAAAGTCATCATATGTTTTTAAAAGCATCGATCCCTCAATGAGTAACCTCAAGTGGTCATTTGCTATTGCCTTTTGACATGGAGAACAGTCCAGGGACGTCAGTGTCTGGGCATTACTAAGTGATTGCTATACAGATTCAAGGCCCTCCCTCGCGGGCCCTCCGCGTGCCCTTTCTTCGTATGTCAGTTGAATCATCC